ACACACACACACACTCTCACACACACACACTCTCACACACACACATACACACACAACAAACGTATATACACGAATACACGTACATACACACATACACTTATTCCTGGAGCACCATCGCACGTGCACGCAGTGGCGCGGCGATAGCACAATAGGGGGGCAGGGGGGGAGTGATTTCGAATGAATAAAGATAAGAAAGAGAAAGAGATCAGAGATTCTGTTGTTTCGATGTGTTATTCTTTCAAGTATCGATACATAAAAGAGAGGGTACCTGCAGATACATTAAGCTATGGCTGCGACACTGTAATTAACGACTGTTCGTAGAACACTTGTTCCCCTTTTTCCGCTATCTCCGTCTCTCTCTACCTATCTGTCTTACGTAACTATATCTGTATTTTGTAATTAGTTATACGGGAATTGTGCTGTGGAATTACTAAAACCGTTAACGTCAGAATCACAAACGAACCACAATAGGGGAGCAATACTGATCTTAGTGGTTAGTACACTGTCCATCGTTATTACGATTTCATTCAGGTGCGATGACGGAAGCCCTTTTATAGTTTAATCTTATTCAAGCATGAGCAAGCATCGTGGAGTGTGTACCTATTCTTTTTCTCGGCGACCGTTCTAGAGGTACAATGAAGACATTCACGCGGTATTTCAAGAAAGAGAGAGAGAGAGAGAGACTTTGAAAGAACGTCGAGATAAGTTGTTCGTTTATTCAGTTTCTCTCAAAGATTCTTTTTGTATAATATGCTAGGATGGTTACACTACATAGATATCCGATATGTAAATTATTACAGTTGATGTATAATAATTCTGTCTTTAACTGTTAAAAACTCACAGATAACGGATGTATACATTGCTCGAACCCGTTATTATATACAAAGCATTCTCTCCTTTATCATTTCTGAATACATAACACGAGTATTCTTGTTAATATATTATTACTTTATAACGTTCAATGTGCGGAACGCGTATTGTGCGCGATATATCCGATTTTTCTGTCTACGGCAAATCTGAACACTCAAAATGTAAGCAAATAATAGCTGCTAATATTTGTGTGCAGCATACAACAAATAAATAGGACAATTTTCGACCATCACGCAGTCGATCGATGATTAATATGCGGATCTAAAACGCATTAATGAAATATTGAATCGCGTGCCAATTATTACTTTTATTTAATGGTCGTATCGTAAAGTTAGAATGTTTCTTTATTTAAATTGGTATTGATTAATCAATTTAATTGCCGTTTACAATTAAGCACTTTCAAGATTCCCACAATAATCGTGAAAAATGTCATCTCAGCTAGAAATAAATGTCACGTATTAATATACACATATATACTCATCAAAATCCCAGGTCTGTTAGAGAATACAAATTTCAGCAAGAGTTTTCTGTTAATGTCTGGCTTGGAATTTGGAACGACGTTTTAGTGGGACCGTTTTTTTTACCTGCAAGATTAAATGGGGACCGTTTTCTAAATTTCTTGGAGAATGAATTTTCTGACTATTTAGAAAACATCCCATTACAACAACGTACTGAAATGTGGTTTCAATTAGATGGATGCCCTGCTCATTACAGCAGAGTCGCTAGAACCTGGTTAGATAGAAAATTCCCACAACGATGGATTGGACGTGGAGGAGCAGTACATTGGGCAACTCGTTCGCCCGACTTAACGCCATTAGATTTCTATGCATGGGGTACTCTGAAGCAAGAAGTTTATTCTTCGCCTATTCAATCAGAGCAACATTTGAGAAATCGTATCGTAGCTGCAGCGAACAGAATATCGCAAGAACAGTGCCTGGCTGCTACAAGAGCCGTGTTTGACAGATGCAATGCTTGTATTGCTGCAAGAGGTGCACATTTCGAACAAAATCTTCATTAAAAAGTTTATAAATAAAATAATTAAAATAATAAATTAAATATATTTTTTTCTTTTTTCGTGATTTCCTGCGAAACAAAGCAAAAAGGAGCATATGTCTATAGGACTTTTTTTCTTAGTTTTTTACTCCTCTACACGCTCCCGAAGTTTTGCCATTTAATTTGGAAACACCCTGTATATATATATACATATATACACATATGTTTATAAAATATATAAATATATGTAATATATGTATATTAGAGGCTGATAATTTGAAAGACAATTATTTATTTTGTGTTATTTAAAATGGACTAATTCCATGCTTCCGTCCAACCATGTACGTAGTCGAGCACGAAAAGGCAGCCCGGATATACGAGGTTAGAGATAAAAGCGACGAGGGGTGATGAGTAGAACGAAGATGACCTTCCGGAGATTTAACTCGGCAGTAAATCGTCACCTGTGTCGCTTGTCGGTGTATAAGGCGACCCGTTTAGAACGAAATACAAGAATTCACTTTTGATGTTATTCCAGACAATTCCGTACCTTAAGATAAGTTCATGAAATAGTTTATTGTGGATAATTAATTATCTAGATGTTTTTATGATGGCGATATAATGAATTTAATTATGTTAAAATACAAATAAGATTAATGAATTTCTGAACATTTAATATTAGTTCAATAATATATATTGTTCTAAATTTTAAAATGAATCGCTAAAACTATTGAAATTTTTGTTGTAAATATGTTTTTTTATTATATTTCATAATTGCATAATGACGATGAGATGTTCGAGAAGATTTCGAGTATTTCTTCAGATGTTTTATATTGACATGGAAAATCTTTTCATTCGTTTTACTAGAGGGACGTCAAATGCCTATTTCAAGTTAGCTGAAGCGATTCTTTAAGTCGCTAAAGAATCAATAGAATCTGCTTGAGAAGCACGGTAACGTGATATAATTCCTTCAAGCCCCAAGAGAACACGAAGAGGGTGGGAACTACGGTTTCGGCGCTTTCTATTGTGTGAAATTTATTTGAGATTTCTTTGAGAATCTACGAGAAGTACGGTTGCTTCTCTTCTTCCGGAAGGTCACTCTGCTATAATTGTGCACGGAATCAAAGACGATCTGAGAGAAATACGAAAATCATATTTTATAATTAACAAAACAACGCATATAATAAAATACATTTAGCGGATAATATAATAGCCATTCTGTTTCTTGCTGTTTGTCTCTTGCCTTTTGATCAAAAAGGCAAGAGACAAACAGCAAGAAATAGGAAACAAAGAGCACATTGTAGAATAGGCTTAAATAATGAAAGAGTGAAAAAGCACGTACGAAAGACGTTCGGTATATCAAACTATACAGTACATGAACTCTTATCTCCAATTATATTCGGCCGCGATATCGATATCAATATCCTTAATTTAGCCACTCGAAGGTGAGTGACGTCTGACAAAGGAAGAAGGAAAATAGCGAGTGGAGCAGAAATAGAGAAAGCACTTTCGGAGTGAGGAAGAGACCGCCTTTCGCGATGAGCGTCACGGTCGTCTCTAAAAGTTTGTCAATATACGGGTGGCCAGCTGTTACTATTACGCCATTACCAACGTCTACGGTTACGACATTACATTTATTCCGCTCGTCCAGTCGGGAATACGCGACAGCAGGGAGACATGTTGAAAGTGCAAGATATCTTTTTCCAATTCTCGCGTTACGGCACTCAGCTGGATAGTCCTTTTTTTCTCTTATTTTTTCTTCGTGTTTGCGGAAGAGACGACGGAGTCGGCGCGCAAGGCGAGTGAAAGAGCCGCCGGTTGTGGTTGTAGGGCGGATAACGAGGGTCACCGAAGGGGTGGGGATATACCGCCGAGGTTGAGGTAGGACCAAAACTTGCGCCGGCAGCTGACAGTTCTCAAAGGAAAGCGGACGGCACTCGCAAGATGACCCGCTCTTCTCTAGTAGGGCTTGACCCTTTTTTTTAATTGCAGAAAAGTAAATAGGATAGGACACTAGGAATCATGTTCTTCATATAGTGACGGGTTGTATTCAAATTTCAACAGAAATCACGCAAAAGAGCCGCACTCATAAAGCCTGTAAAGAACGAAATGCAAAGCATGTGTGCTAAAATCATGTTATTGCGACATCTAATTATTTCTCGAACGAAAAGGCAACTTGTAATGATCAAGAAGAACATTTTCTTACTTGCATAATGATTAAAAAATTGTAAAAATTAAATGTTACGAGAAAAATATAAAAGATATTTTATGCGGTTGAAATGTATTTCATTTTAGGATAAGAGTAGCAATGGTACTTTCATCCAGACGTCCACCATGTTTTAAGTAGTCGATCGAAGTGCTAGTTAAGCAGCAGACTGTCCTTAGGGACAGGGTGGAAAGCGTGATGGCGGGACGAGAAACTGATGCACTCAGTGCGCGCGTGTAGTAAATGCCAGGGATGGTCGTCCTTTTCTTTCCACCGGGGAGTATCTTCTAACATTGTCAGAGTAGTAAAATTGTTGACTGGAATGGAGTAGCTCGCGAGGTAGTCGCGTAATAAATCGGTCTGAGCTCTCTGGAAGCGGCGAGTCGCGCGTTGTCGCAGTTTGATAAAGTTTGCAAACCCTCCTCGGAGAGTTTGTTGGTTCAATAAGTAATTATGATTGAGCGCAGAAAGAGAGAGGGAGAGAAAGGAGGAAAGGAGAAAGGATAACGCTGAAAATTGATATTATTTATACAGAGTAATCTGGCGAGGCAGATTGCTCTTTCTAGACCACTTACCAAGATTCGCGCAATTTCGAGCAATGTGTACACCCGAGTACGGCAAACGGACATTATTTTCGATACTTTATCAGTTAAATTAGAAAAGAAAGTAACAAGTACGATTATGTAAAGGATTATAAATAACATTTTGTCAAAATGTAAAGTTCTTGTAGTTGTTTTCGCGAGCTCGTTAGATACACTAGTGAAACATTGTTGTAGACACACGATACATGCAGCAGTTACTTAGTCATCTTTTCTTTTTCACGAGAATTAAGTACGTATCTAAGTAAATTTAGGATGACAAAATCGATTGAAGACGTCAGACTATCGAGACTCGCGATTAACTGTTTCCCTATCGATATCTATCTTTTCGAAAGACGCCGAGAACGCGGATGCGGCCGATCTGCAGAGGAAGCTGGAAATGCTGAACAACATGATGGACCAGGAGGCGCGGGCCGAACAGGCACGAAGGCAGATATTGTACAATATAGGCCACTGTAAGTACAGTCAAGTTACAGTTTAGATGGCTGATATCTTATTCAAATTGTTCTTTACGGCGCGAGAGAAACCAGTCCCCGATCGATTTCGTCTCTGATCCGGCACGCGCGCTCGCGATATGCACGAGGATTGATTTTTCTTTCTTCCGTGGAAATTTAATTCGCGACGAATTCAAATAAACGAAATGTATACGTTTTCCGATGTTAGCCGTGAATGCAAGAAGTCGCGTATCGATTTTTTGATAGAGTTAAAGTAATAAAATAAAACTCTAGATATTTGATTATTTTAATTCCAGTTTTATTCTACGCGTATTCTTCACTCTTTATGAACTTAGCGCGACTGATTTATAATGCATTCGTACTACTTGCAACGCTTCTATTATCTTTTTACCACCGTTATACTTTTCTTTTTGTTTCTTCGAGAAGAAAAAACATGATGCGCGAGAAGATCGATTGTCATGCGGTAACATTGTAATATTTTACATCGCGAGCGCTAATTTGCTGCAGCCTACGTCACACGACACTTTCATCCACACGTCGGGTCGTCTGACATACTTGCAGTATTTTTAGAAACCGTGGCTTTCTAGGTCGTTCGCTTGAACGCTACTTCCGAGTAAGTCATAAAACTTTTACGCCCTTGTTTTTCCATGCGAGAAATCAATTTGGTTCCGTGCTGGTTCCTATTTTGCAATTGGCGACCGTACGCCGCGTGTCTTACCCACGGAGAGTATGTAGCGTGATATACCCTGGAGAAACAGGCATACAAGACGCCATTTTCATATATGTGTTATCGGCTATCGACGTATCGTCGGTAACTTACCACCCAGTTGTTACACCCTTTCTAGCAACCCCTTGCCCGTGTAACAGCTATGAGAAGGCATGCAGCAAGCAGACTAGCTCTCTTTCTGTACTAAATAAATCGGTGTTTGGCCTTTTCGTTTTCTATGTTCTTGCAAACGTTCCATAATACCCTCCGTACGATGATTTGCATTCCTACCGGTCCTAATTTCTGGAAGAAAAGAAGACACACACGAGAGACTTAAAAAAAAAACAAAATCGGAACGGTGCCTACTACATGACGATCAATTTGTCGCATGGCTGTTAACTATACTTACCTTGCTTCCTGCTATTGCACCACTTCAGTTCCCGGATTCTACCAATATCGACCAATTCTGCCTGCAGAAAGTTGCGAAACCGTCACGACGAAGAATTGGCTTCACCTTTTATTCAGGGAAACGAACGTGAATCATCAAAACTCACTATTCTGATGTAAACGTAAATTTTGCAAAGTACGATTTGTGTTCTGATAGGCAGGCCTGAAAAATAGAACTTAGCGGATTATTGCAAGAAATAATTTGCATTTCTGCCTGGTCAAAGTATGACTTTTATTTTCTTCTTTCAGTTGTGTGCGTTTTGTTTTCTAACATTCTTCAGCCGCAGGAAAAATAAAATTATTTCCGTCAACGTTGCAGAAGCGAGGCGACGATTCAGATATCCCAATGTAAAGTTGTCAGGGCATTATATCAGGCGTCGCTAAAGACTAAACTTCTACTTCAGTTCCTTCGATCATTTTTCCCAATACGCTATAAGTTGTAATCCATCTTTCAGCGGGATACTCGGAGGACTCTGACTACACGTCGGATTTGAATTATCCAGTAGGTGGGCAGGGTGCGAACAGTTCGGCCTCGCAGTTTCGTACGGCGGCTAACCAGTTGGCTACACCTCAAAGGTCCCTCGAAACATCGAGAGAAAATAGTTACGAGAGAGATGATCATCAGGTATTGATCGACGAAAGAAAAGTTCTTACCCAGGAGGCTTAAAAACGAAATAGATATCAAGCTATTCCTAACGTATTTAGTTATTAAACAACCTTTGACGTAACGTTCAATAATAACAACTTATTTAATGGTAAAATTAGGAACTAACTATATTATTTGAATGATTGACTTTTCTAATCCACTCGTTCCGTCGGCGACATTTTAATTATGCGGTAATAAATTATAAGAGAGTAACGTCGCTAGATTCCAGTCACCGTCGGAGGAAGGTTAGCACCTAGTAACTACGGAAGTTACGGAGGTTCAGGCCATAGTCCGAGGTACGATGAGCCATATCCAGAAGATGGTCTACCGCAGCGGTACTTGCAGACCCAGCAGCATCCTTCAGAGTCTTCCGAGCCACTCTTCTATAACAGTAGACCGAAGCACTACAAGGAATACAGGTACTATATAGACGCATTGAGAGGTTGCGAGAATTCCTAATTAGTATATTCAGCAATACATCAATAAAAAAATATTAGAGCAACGCTAAACACATTTTAGTGATTCCTGTAATGATCTATGACGCTGTTTTTATGCGAAAGCAAAAATATGTAGAGCATTTACTGTTTGCGCGTCAATTGCGCATAGTCCTTATTGTTAAGTTTACATTAATTAAGACGGAAGAAAATCGTTTATGTTATTTTCTTACCTGATTCAGACGACGGAAGCACACGTGGGATTACGAGGACAGGTACGAGCGCGACCGCGCGATTTCGTGAGAATTTCAGCGAACCTCTACAGCACACACTCACTCATGCATACGCGATTATCAACTTCATTTATCATGTTTTGTTCTTACCGTGCATATCACGACCGGCACCACTTCGTGCATTATCGCAACACTAGGTTGGCTTGTGATTGCGTTGCACTCAATTAATCGTATGCAATTGCAAACACATCGATCGTAACAGTGATTACGTCGGGCGAGTCGTTCGTTATAATATAGGCCACCATCGCCGAGCACTCGTTTTGCCTTAATGACGTACATAGAAAAATAAGAGACTCATGCCTTTAATTAATAGTTGTACGTGGCTTATATTTTAGTTGCACGTGGCTTTGTTTTTGTGACTTAAAAATAGTTCAAGAATTTTCACGAGAGGAATATATATTATAGAATATAGATTATTTAAATTGAAGATATATTAATCTGTACAAGTTGAAGCAATGCATTAAATTCACAGGCATTTGCATGGTGCAGTTAATAATCGCAGCTGATCATTCAAGAAAATCGACTAAAAGTTCTTTATCATGAGTCATCTCATCCTCGGCTCAATTCCTACGTTTTGATGTGATAAAAAAGTTTTGATCTGATTATCTCATGCTTTCAGCCAAGACGGCTGGTACAGCGAGGGTACATATGATTACCATGGCACGAGGATCGATGATACGAGAATTTATAGCGATACTGAATATTATTCAAACAACACGACGACTACCACAAGAAGATCGAAAGGAAAAGGTATTAAGCCCTGATTAAATGCATTGTGAATTATTTAATAAAATTTTTAGCATTTTTCTCTACATCTTCCATTTATTCCTTCCCCTCTTTTATCCTTACACTTTACACGGAATCTCAGATTCTTATGCTCAATTATGCGACAATAAGTAAAATATGCGTTGAATTGCGTCTGCATATTTTTAAATTATACCCATTCGCTTTCAATTTTATCGAATATTCACTATGATGTATTGTCAAGAATGAAGACAAGTGTATAAACGTTTTTTGCCTGTTTTCTAAGCAATTCCGTATAGAAGACCGTCTCTGGAGAGACAGATGACCTTATACGACGATCATTCGTATTACGCTGATGGATATAGCAGCGATGGTAGAGTGGGTAAAATGAGCGCCACGTATCCGGAATGTGAAACGGATATTAGGTATAACGAATACTACGACACCATAACGGGATACGTCTATCAGGATGAAAGGTAAGCACGGCGCCAATGAATGCTATAAAGAAAAACGATGAAATCGTTGGAGGGAAAACTGAATCTTTGTTTCTCTTTCTCTCTTTGCAGATATGGTCAAGACGACGAGGACAGGCAGTGGGACAGTGGAGGGAAACGATTCTTGGGAACAAATACATATTATGAAAATAAACGAAACAGAAAGACGCTTCCGCAAAGGCCGGCTTCGAGCATCGGTATACACCGGCCGGATTACAGACCCACTGTTACCAGACAGCGTAGTTACGAATCGGAAGAGCTCGATTATAAGTACGTCATTAGAATGCTTTATTTTGCTTCAAAATTTTTTTATTTAATTCTAATTTTATTATAAATAAGCGTTGGGATTTAATTCTTCGGAGCTGACGCCAAAATCTGTAACACAATTACTGACGCTGGGTCTGTAAAACTCTATTTCATTTATGTTAATTAAAAAAAAACTAATTTCAGGGAACCAAAATGATACAATTCGTATAAAAGGATTAAGGAATGAATACTATTATAATAAGTATATTTCAATAAGAATAATCCAAATTTTTGTGCTAATGTGACATAAAGAAAATTGAATTGTTTGACATTTTTAACAAAGAGATTTATAATTGAATGACCCACTGTCAGCTCCAAAGGGTTAAAACTATAATTATTAAAATTGGAAGACTAAATTTAAAAGAATGATATCTGAACACATACATTAAATAATATAGGAGGGCCGTCCATATATTACGTAAGCATAATTGGGGAGGGGGAGAGTCAGACAAATTCTTACGAATGCTTACATAGGAGAGGAGAGGGGGTCGCATATATTCTTACGTAAGACTTTTGTCTGAAATTTTTTCAATGCAATTATATCGTTCGTATAATAATATTGAAAGAATCGTGTAACTGCCTTGAAAATTTTTTTAGTCTTGAACATCGAACGTGTGCAAAAATCTTACGTAATAATAGGGGAGGGGGGTATCCGAAATTCTTACACTTGCTTACATGGGGAAGGGGGAGGGTTAAAAATAGCCAAAAATTTGTTTACGTAATATATGAACGGCCTCTTATATAATATATAATATGACACATACAATATATTACATATGTAATGGTTCTGCTTGATATTCTTTGTAAAGCGGATATAATACTCGTCGCCGGAAGATCTTGCAGCCGCAGCAACGTCCGATGTCGCGGCAGGAGGGCGGCACCGGTAAGAAACTACCTCCGACCCCGACCAAGCCGAGCAACGTGGTGATCAGCCGTAAGCTCGCCTCTCTGCCCGCTACGCCGAGCAGACAACTGCCAAAGACCAGAACGCCCTCCGAGGAGAGCTATTATAAATCCGATTATAACGAGGACTATAATTACGCTTATCGTAGTCAGGACAATCTGCCGCAGGACACATATACGGAGAACATTTACAGCCAGCAGCAGAGTGGCCAGACGGACTCCGCTAACAAGACTCGATATCCCGAGATAAATCAAGATAATCAGTATGATTATACAACGCAGGTCGATGGCCAATACGGTCAGTCGTATCCAGAGCAACATACGCAAAATAGCTATGAGCAGCCGGCGTATGCGCAACAGAACTCGTACAAGGACGAGTACCAACAACCTTACGCGCAGCAAAATACTCAGGCGTATCAGGGAGCGTATCTGGACACGACATATCCAATTGCCAGTCAGGCGAACGATCACCAGTACGCGAATCCGGCGAAGAATCAGTACGACAAGCCCGACGGTATGATAATCGAGGACAATTTTCACGAGATGGGCTTTAATCAGAATAACGTTCAGTATCAGCAGTCGGATTACAAACAACAGGACGTTTATCAGGAGCAATACGATGATTACAGTACCGTGCCGACGAGCGTTTACGATCAAAATAACGTCACGAACACTTATAATCAATATCAGCCGCAGCAGTATGACTCTCAGTACAATATTAATACGTCGACCGATTATCAGAAAACTTATCAAGAGACATATAATCAAGTGCCTGTTACATCGCAGGATAATTATCAAGAATCCTATACAAAGCAGTCGCAGGAAGATTTCGTAGATTATCAAACGCCGTACAGTAAGCAGAATGACGTGCCTACGACATATAAAAATAATTATCAGGAAACTTATCAAGATTATCAAGAGTCATATGATGAATATCCAGATTCGTATCAAGGATCTTTCGAGGAGCAGCGTTATAAAAATGATTCGGTGACAGCGACGGACAGAAGACAGAGCGAAGTGCCTGAACTATCCGTGACTACGCCACGAGGTCAAACGAGAACGAATGGTTATCCGTCGAGTGAATCAGAATATCTCTATCAGTCTCAAGAGAATGAACTCGAGAACAGTTCGAGAAGAAAGAAGATCGGCGGTAAGCGTGAAGTCAGCCCGCTTCTCCAGCAGAATACGGACTCGCTCGAATCGAGGGACGACGAGCTGAAGGATTCGTTCGAGACCGCCGTGAGTTCTGTCGGTAGCAATCAACTCAAGAAGGCATACAGCGAGTACTCGACAGCAGGTGAATCGAGTCCCGCGCCCGTTACTTTGGTGGAGTCTCCTCAGAACATCGCTCAATCACAGGCGACAACGATGGTCAATCATGTGACGGCCAATCACGTAACCACCACCGCGATGGTCCACACCACCACGAATATCGTGAACGGAAAACGACCATTGGCCAGAACAGATTCCTATCAGGAGGATGTTATCGAGGACGAAGACTATCCGGAGATTATTCCCAAGGAAATGCAGAGGAAGGATTCGCAGCTGTCGCATCAAAGTCAGCATTCTCAGTCAACGCTCTCGCAGAAACCGAAACTCACGAGAGGGGACTCTTACGTCTCGGATAACTACACCGAGGATTCTTATAGTCATACAGGATCGTACGCTCAACTGCAAAGAAAGGATTCCTTCTCGTCGACCACTGAAGGATTCAAACCGCCTCTCACCAGAACTGATTCGTATCAGCAGAGAGATCTACGAGGTAGCAATTACGGGCATAACTTTACGCCACAGCCCATTTCCCGAGCGGAGAGCTATCAACGTGGTCACTTCAAGGATCAGGAGTCGCTAGATCAAAGCGACATCGTTCTGAGCAACGCGGTGAACGGTGACTATCAAATGCGGGACGAGTCTCTTGAGAGGTACGAAATTATAATTATAAATTATAATTAATAATTGAAAGTAATATTCTTTCTCTGATATATTAGTTCGAATGTGTAAACGAATTTTTTTATTTCTTCAAAGGTACGACCGGGATGAGGAAGAAGCCTTGCGTCGTAACTCTCGAGAGGACTCACTGGTCGATCAGTACAAAGGGACTCCGCCGTTGTCACATATCGAAAGCCCGCGCGGTAAGATTATCGTGTTAATTATTAATTAAGAAATACAATATTGTTTAATATTTTCTTGCTAATCAATCGATCGGCTGACTCAATTTCAGGGAGTATAATAAAGCAGGCGTCGTTGGATGAAAGTGTTCAGATGGACACTCCGCCGAGAAGTCCGCCAGAGCCGCCAGCCGACGAGGAGCTTCTCGGGATGGTCGCACCGGTACCCACGCAACTGAAGGAACGCCCAGAGATGACGGCGAGGCAGAGATGGCATTGGGCGTACAATCAGATCATCATGCAGCTAAACGTATGTAAAATTAAGACATACAAATACATTTTTAATTTTTGAATGAAGATGACAGAAACGACAAAAATAATTGTCAAGGAACTTTTGATTCTTTGTTTTAAATTTCGATCATTAAACCGATCACGCCGGGATTCATTAAAGCGGCGGTCAATGATCGCAGGGGCGACCTTTGGAAAAATGCGATGATGCCGGCAGTAACCCGCATTAATCGCAGTCCTTCACTACAACGGCCTTGTCAATCATTACCTTCACGTAACATCGATTCGTTGCACACACAGACGAGCTACCCGGTTCTCCGGTTTGTCACTCATTTGTATGTTAATTGTTCAAGGACGGAAGGTCGCTGGCAGTACGTTGATCCCCATCGAATATAATTTAACGAGGCTGCGAAACAGGGGCTCGATCCTATCTATAGTCGGGTATTATTTACATAAGCTAGTTTTGTCCATATTTAGCAGCCGCTGATGTGCCAATGTGTCATGATGATTGATAGAACGTTGGCGATGTTATCATTAATGCAACGGCAGGCGGACTCTCTATCGATTAGCAGAAAAATGCTTTTCCGCGACCAGACAAAAACAACGCTTGACTTGATATACGTGCACATCGCTATATACATAGGATATCGGCTTATACATCAGTTGAAAAATGATTGAGCAAATATCTCGCAAATGGCGTGTAGATAAAGAAATGTAACATGTGACGTTATTTTTCGAGAAGGATGTGACGAAACATAGATATAATGTCTATGCGACGAAATGTTAAATAATCAGACACTCGCGTGACGCAATCGATGATATCGTTTCGCCGAAATGATTATTTCAATCATCTATGAGCTCGTTCTACTTGAAACTTGAAACAAAGCGATGAGAAGAGTCACGATATACATGAATTACAGTAGTTTTCTGTCGTTTTTTTCCGTGAGTACTTCTTGGCCGCAATTCGCGACAGATATATTTTTTTCTTTCAATTGCACCGATATTCCATATCGTGCTAATCGACGATCGTTAAACGTTATTACCGTCATATGCCGTATATTGATTTAGGTGCAAGGCAAATGTTCAACGACACAAAGTGTCGTTGCGAATTATTGACGCTCGTTATCGCCTCGGCGTCGCCACCTTAAAAATATATCGCTCGTTGTTGGATCGTCCGGTGCCAGAGATTAACGCCTGGCTTACACGAAACTTCCATTAACGCAGTCTTGTCGGCTCAAACGAAAGCACCAGAGTACGCACCTGGTGCACTCCTGGGAACCGCAGCAGTCGATATATCGTATATGCTCGAGAAACTTTGGCTTCGCCGGCGGAAAATGTAAATTCGTGCGGAGCGTAGGTTGGTTGAAACAGGCAGCTGCCGAAGCAATTGTTTGTTTTGCCGCTTCCACGGCTTGGAAACCATGCCAGGAAGGTCGGCCTCTTTGCGTCATAATTGCCACAATCAACAACTGTTTGAATACAGCTGTCGATTTAAAAAGAAAGAAAACTATGTTCTCCACGATTATCGCAAAATATTACGTAAAAAATGTGATTTTCCAAAATAATAAAAAAAGAGGGAATAATAAAAAAAATCAAAAAAAAATCGGAGAACATTTTTTAATTTTAGATACTATTTTAACGAACCAATATCGTGAGCACAAATTCTGCGCGTATAAAGGAACAATAATCGAATTTGTTACAACTCTTGTGGGACTTAATTATCATCTTCGCGTGGGTTTGCGCATTTGTTCATGTATGCTGTCTCGCTATTTCGTTGCTTATCCACCAGAAGAACTATCCTCGGCGGAATCATCATCCTACGGGAAACAATTTAGGATATATTGATTTGTTCAGAAATTCGATTCGACGTGAGGGATACAGTTCCCAAGAGTACAGTTTTTATGATATGTAACGCACTCCCACACATCAACCGTTTTGATACGCAAAACATTTTCATCGTAATAAAAATCGAAGGTAAATCGTTCTATGCATCTCGCGAACGTCGAAGCGAAATATCTTCCGAGTATTTCTCAGTTTCTTCTTCTTTTTCTCTCGCCACATACAGCGAACAGAAAATGATCGGATTATATTAGGATGGATATTTTAACGGCAGAAGAATTCTTCTGCCGCTCGGGACCGAGTTTCTTCGCTAAAGCGATTTACAGGAGCTCAAGGGTCAGCTACCCGAGCGTACTTTTCCACCCTTCTTTGTTTCTTACTGCTAAAATAGCTTTACGTGTAGACACGTAACTTATACTTGATCGTAACTGTCGATAGTCACTGCCTCCATATTACTACGCACGTCGACGGATTTCTCCGCCGCATCGTCGCCATGTTTTTTTATTATTCACGTAAAAATGTAGACTCCTATGCGCTGGTCGCGTACACTTTGCATTTTATTCGAATTCCTTCGCGTCGCATGCATTTTACATTCCACCGTCGAAACGCGTCTTGATAAAGCTTCATCTTGCCTCCATTCTATTTTCCATGTACAATTCTTTGCGCTCGCAGCATATTATTTGCGAGGAACTTCGTCGGTTTCTCTTAAAATACAATTTGAGCATATGCAGGTCAACGCAATTCACATATGTGCTCTATTATATTCAGTTTCCTAATTACGTATTTTAATTAATTCGTATAATTTAATTAATTAATCACATGCACACGAATATACATGCGTTCACGTTAAAAAGTAATTATTTCACGCAGCTCGAGATTCTTAACAAGCTGAAGATGACTCTTCTTTTTAACCATGTACATGTGTTTTCCTGCGATAGGACCTCGTAGGACGTAATCTATGTAGGCCAAGCCGGTGGTCGGCGTCATAATCAGAAGCCCGTATGATTGCCAGACCGACGGTGAGGAATCGGTATCACCTTCGCCGCAAGGTCTTACCTCCCGCCATTTGCTTATCGCTGCTGGCGCTTGTCAACTCGAGTCAAACGTTTCTCTTTCAGTACAGTAATAGTCAATGATCCGGCGAGAGACTACGAGCACATCGGTGTCGTGAAGAAGGACCGAAGGGCGAAAGTTTCACGCCCCGCTCTTCAAGTTTCCTTGAAGTTACCTCTTCTCTTTAGCTTCGAAGTTAAGCACACCCTCGACTACAACGAATCGGCGAATGAAAGAGGCGGAGCGATTGTATCGATCGTTATTAGGCTTTTATTAGACGGAAGTATCGTCGTATGCCTCGCAAAGGGCGCATCCGTACGGGGGGTCGTGTTAACTTAAGTGAAAATACCACTAAGTGGTCCAGCCGAGGGAGACTGACCACCACCTTCGTCTCGGTTCCCGTGCACGGATCTTTTAGCGAGTCTGATCGTAGAATTGGCTGAAAGAGGATCTTTACGCGAGGTACTATGTATCTACGTCAAAATAAATCGTGCCGTGCTTCTGAGGTAATTTAAATACCGGTGGTATGGGAAAATTACGTAGGATAAAACTTAACCAAGAAAATTATTACGAAGAAGATAGACGGTGGATGTCATGTGCCTGTGGATTATACGTGCAACGAAGATCAATATTACGAGTCAAAAAGAAAATGCTACAACAATATGTATAAGAAATTTTTTTTCAAACTAGTTCAAGTACAAGGATACAATTAACAGACGGTGTGAATAAAACTCGATAAGCACTGAAGCGGATATCCTTAAATAGCGGATATGGCACTATCACGAATATCCTCGACATGTGTAACTGCGATATTTTAGTATTTTAACTGTGTATGTCGTATCGTATTGAAACCGTCATGGACAACGAGAATAATCATAACTCTTGACATTCGGAAAACCGAGAACGTTTTGACGAATTGAATTTTAAATTTTTGCTACAATTTTTGAAAAAACAAGCGCTATTCTTATTGAGTCTCTTGTATAGTCAAGAGAGAGACGAAAAGCTACACAATGGAGACTCGAGAGAAGTCGACGGAATGGGCTTTATTGTTCCCTTTGAAGGCAGGCCTGTTTGCTATGAAGTCATCGTTATCTTCGAAAAGTGTGAGTCGTGGCGAGAAGGAAAGTAAGGAGAGGCTCTCGAAGAAAAGTCTTCGCGAGCCGCGAGCAAAAATACGTCGGGGATCATCCTTGTCTGATCTAGATAAGCTTCAGAATAAGGCGATTCTACCGGATATCGTCAAGTCGACGGAGCAATGCTCCGAGTCGCTTCCACATTCGCCTGCTTTATCCCGAACAAACCTTCAGCTGGGCAGTAGTAGCGTGAGAGGCAGCATAGGTGATTTGATGAACATGAAGAAATATGGTGGATCCACTTGGAGCGTGCGAAGTGAGACTTTGATTGCGAAAGCCGTGCCGTTGAGCACAGTAACGATGAGACAAAGTTCACCGATCGAGAAAAGCATGGAGGATAATCTCGAGGATGAGTTGCAGGACGAATTTCCGATCTCTGGAAAAGCATTAACTTGTGCTCAAAGAACTCAGAGACTCAGCAGACTTATCAAAAAGCAGAGACGAATAATGGTTTACAATCCTAGCGTTCTGCAGAGAGATGTGGTAAGTCACCGTCGGTCAAAACGAGGATTGGAACATTATTTTCTATAGCAATGATTGGATATCTTTATTAAGAAAAAAACGTCAGTATTTGTTCAATAGAACTTAGGATTGAGAAATAATTTGTTATTTGTAATGAGATTTTAAATCTATTTTTTTGTTAATTGTAACTTAATTTTTCCCCATCTATAATTGTAACTTATATATAACTTAATTACATTTTTTTGCAATTAGTAACTAATTTAAGTTACTTTTATAGTTATATTTTATATCAAACTTATTTGTTAACATAAGACTGAATTAAAATGTTTAGTGAAAAATCAGTGATTATTTTTTGTGATTGGAATTTATTGTGTTTTTATTTTTGATAATCATCACTGTAAATGTTTGCATTAAGAATTAAATCAGGATCTTTTTAATATGTAAACGTGTCTTAATATTGATCCCATAATTTTAATCTCAAGTGTATGTATATATATTAATTTATCATACATAATATAGCAGATAATAAAATGTT